TTTTTTCCTTATTTATTGTCTTAAATTTCGAAATTATTACGTGAATGTTAAACGAAGTCAAAATATTACATCTTTAACACCATTTCAAAGTACTCAAGATCTAGTTTACCGCATTTTTAACCGCGTTCGAAACGGCCAATCGTAGCAAAAGTTACCAAGCGTCGAAATAGACCGTTCCAAAATATATAAATGCTTTTCTATTATTTTTATCTCAATTTTTGGGGTTATCACGGAATGTCAAACGAAATCGAAATGTCGTATTCTTAACAACACTTCGAAGTACCGACAGCCTAGTTTATTGCATTTCTAACCACGTGCGAAACGGCCAACTGTAGCAAAAGTTACCGCTCGTTGAAATAAGCCGTTCCAGAATATATAAATATTTTTTTTCTTATTTTTATCTCAATTTTCGGGTTTATTACGGAATGTCAAACGAAATTGAAATCTCGTATTTTTAACACTATTTTGAAGTACTCACAACCTACTTTATTGCATTCTTAATAGCGTGCGAAACGGCCAACCGTAGTAAAAGTTACCACTCGTCAAAATATGAATACAAAATGCAATATTTGCTACGGTTGAAAATGACTATTTCGACGAGTGGTAATTTTTTATACGATTGACCGTTTCGTACGCAGTTAGGAATGCAATAAATTAGGCTGTGAGTACTTCGAAATGATATTAAGCATACGGGATTTCGATTTCGTTTGACATCCCGTGATAACCCCGAAAATTGAGATAAAAATAAGGAAAAAACATTTATATATTTTGGAACGGTCTATTTCGACGCATGTTAACTTTTGTTACGGTTGGCCGTTTCGCAGGCGGTTAGAAATGCAATAAACTAGGCTGTGAGTACTTCGAAATGGTGTTAAGAATACGAGATTTCGATTTCGTTTGACATTCCGTGATAACCCCAAAAATTGAGATAAAAATAAGAAAAAAACATTTATATATTTTGGAACAATATATTTTGACGCGTGGTAACTTTTGTTACGGTTGGCCGTTTCGCACGTGGTTAAAAATGTGATAAACTAGATCGTGAGTATTTCGAAATGGTGTTAAGGATGTAATATTTTAACTTCGTTTAACATTCACATAATTTCGAAATTTAAGACAATAAATAAGAAAAAATGGGAATGGGTGGCTGTGTTGGGGGTGCGTGGGTGGGTAAAGGGGGCGGTTGGTCGTGTTAGGAATTGTCCCAGGAAATAATGTCACGTCAGTTGGGATTTAAATCCTGGATCTAATCCCTGTTGCTGTAGCGCGATTGTATTCTCAAACCTTTTATTTTTTTGCTAGCACTTTTCTCGATATACGATTCTCAACATTTCATAAGCGTGAAAACATGTCAAATTGTGACGTGCATGTCCTCAATTAATAGACAACTTTTGTATTTGAAATTAAGGATGTGTTTGATCCACATTATTTTGGAAGAATGTATTCTGAAATAGTAGATTGATTGAGAATTTGTGGTTGAAAAAGAAGGAAAAGTTATTGATGTGATGAGAAATATTATTTTATTGAAAAATGTGTGGTTGAAAATAAGTAGAAAAATGAGAATGAAAATTTTAATGTGTACCAAACAGGAGCTAAATTATAACACGACCCCCACATGATATAGGAGATCTGGGCTAGTGATGGCAAAAAAAATCGCCTAGCCCGGACGGGTTGATGGGACGGAACGGGACGGGGCGGGGCGGGGCGAAGCACCCCGAACCAACCTCGCGAAGAATAAAAAAAATAATTAACTACAAATTAAAAACAAAAAATAGTTAATTGGAAGTTTTTGAAAAAATAAAAAAAATAAACGGGGTAGGAAACAGGGCAAGCCCGAGCCTCGAACCCGCCCCGCCCCGCCCCGTCCCGTCAAGGTGCTGGCGGGGCGGGGCGTGGGAACTCGCCCGTTGCCATCGCTAATCTGGGTTGAGACAAGGATGACCATTAAAGGTTGGGGACTTCGAAATACCAAACAACAAATGAAATAATGACAAAAAACACAAAATAAAAGAGGAAAAACAGAGGGAAAATTCTTTTATTTTTTGCTTAAAAGAATTTTGCTGTTTCTTTTATTACATTGTTAGGCTTTTTTTTTTTTTTTGTTTTTTTGGTCCTTATGTCTAATTAAAAGATAGAGGGCAATATTTTTCTTACCAAAAATCTAATTTTTCTAATCAGGGGGAAAATCATCAACTGGGGACCCAAATTGCTACAAAAACGAGAAGTTTAGGACTATCCTGTAAAAAAAAAAAAAGGAATATCATTAGATTAGTAAATAATTCAATGGATATTTGATTGTTAAATTCATATCTGATTTGCTACGTTATCGATTATCCGATCCGATAATCTAATATAAAATTAAAGAAATTACAAAAATAGAATCAATGTTGAAATTAACTCTATTTATTTATTTACTTATTTCCAAATTTTCTAATTCTTAAATATATTTAATAATTATAAATTTTTCAACTTTTTTAACTTTTAGCCAATTAAATTAAAAAGGCATAAAAAGTTGATTGCCCATTTATTGACACACTTATTTATAGAGGATATATTTAAGTATTTTGTTATAAACTTTCGATGTGAGATAATAATTCATTTGGTTTGGTGGTAGTACATTGTACATTTGATTTGATTGTACTGTATTGTGCATTTAATTTGACTGTAATGTATTGTACCATTATATAAATAGTTATTTATATTATAATAAATTAATCATTTTTCATATCTTTAACAAATTAAGAAAAATTTAAAACTCTCCAAATATTTCAATTAGCACTGTTATAATATATCTTATTTATCAAATATATTTATTTTATTAAGCTCTTAAAATTGCATTTGATACTATAACTTGTACGTATTATTATATAATTTTTATATTGGCTAAAAACTTTTTTAAAAAAAAATAAGAAAATACTTTTTTTTACTCATAGACTTCATGTAGACTTGCCTAGTCCGAAACCTCCAAGCCTTATCACGCATTATGTTTTTTAGAATACTGTATGCACGTGTATTTGCTTTCTTATTTTTATTTTATGTTTTCAATTTTATGATTTTTTTTATTTTCTCATTTATTTATTTTAGTGACAAATAACATGTCATAAAAATATTTAACTTACTAAATTATTTATAACCAATTGGATGAATTGTTATCGGATCAGATTGATCTATATCTATACTTGATCAATTTAGTTAACAGATTTGAATTTTGATCGAATTATCAGATTGAGACTATAAATCCATCACCCATTAATTTAATTGGATTCAAATCAAAATTCAATCTATTGACATTCCTAATAATGTTACAACACCAGCTTAGATGATGCTAAGTGATGGGCTCAATAAAAAGTATATTTCATTATACCTCTCATTTAATGCACCTAAATTGGTATTTTAACAGCAGTGGTGCTAAATAACATTATTAAAAAAAGAAAAGATTGGAGACCTAATTGCTACATTTCCAATAGGTCGGGGAAACAAACCGTAATTTTCCCTCTCTTTTCAATTGAACTTCCTATTTGACCAACTTCAACACTCTTCTCACTCCAGCTCCGTCGACTGACCACCATCAAATCCAATACCGCAAACCCTCATCTCCGCCGCAAAAAATGCCCTCCACCGCCGTCCTCCTTCTCCTCCTCCTGTTTACCACCACCACCTTTTCAGCCGCAGCTCCAATCTTAGGCCTCGATTCCTTCCTCACCCAACAATCCCGCAAAGACCCTCAAGCTACCAACGACTCCTTCCTCTCCCTCCCTTCCTCCCTGAAGAAACCTCTCTCCCATCCCTCCCCCCACCACCCCGCCACCTCATCCTCCCTCCTCTCTCTACGGCTATCTGTGCCCATCACTGTTCACTTGGTGGGCTCCACTTTCTCCTCGTCTTCCCCCTCCCTCCTCTCTTCCTTCATCAACTCCGCCGTCTCCTCCGATCTGTTTCACGTCATTACTCCCTCTTCCACTTCTCCTGCCACCCATCATTTATCCCTGTCCCATTCGCTTAACCTCGATGTGTCCCTTTCGCCCACCTCCCTCTCCAATTCACTTTCCACAGCTCTTAAATCCCACCTCTCTAATTCTCCTTCCCCACTCCGATTTCAGCTCTCGTCCGTTCCTTACTCACTCGTAGATCAGATTATTAAGCAGGATTTCGAAAAGGAGAAACCCATTAACTCGATCCACGTTTATATAATTCATCTAGGATCCCAGTCCAAACCCTATGCTTACAGCTACACCCCTGGTGATCCCTCCCCAGCTTTCACCAAATGCTTGGGCTCCGTTTGGACGGGAAAAGATCGGTATTTGTGGATCGATTTGGGGGCGGGCCCTGTGGACTACGGGCCATCGTTGTCAGGTGATGGAGTTTTGCCAAAAGGTGAGTTTCACCCGTTGGCTGCTCTCCACGGTCGGCCCAAGTCCCAAAAGGCATTGCTTTCAGATTTGGCATCCTTGGTTTGGAGTGCTTATCAGGTACTTCTGGTGCCCTCTTTGAGAATACCTGTGCCTTTTGAGAATTCCTTGATTGTCGAATTTGTACACATGCATGCTTCTGAGGCCGAAGGAGGTAATTCGGGGTTGGATTGGAAGTCAATAGAGAGGACGTTTATGGACGAGGTTAATGACAATGGGTTGTTACTGGGGGATCAGTCTTTGAGTTTTAGGAAATATGATGTGAAGTTATCCGAGTGCTCAATTTGCTCCTTTGCCATTTCCAGGGCAACCACTTCGTACACATCTAGGTATTTGTTTGATAACTATACTTTGATAGTGAGCGAGTATTTGGACTCAAAGCGTTTGCATCAGACAATATCAGAATCGAGGGAGGAGTTTAGAAGGATGGCTAAGCTGCCCGACGAGGACTTTGGAAGGGTTCTTCCTGTGTATGTTTTTGATCTTGATGTCAGTACTATGTTGTTGCTTGATCGGTATCATCAGTCTGTTGCATTTAAGGACATGGTTATTGCAGTCAGGACAAAGAGTACACAGACAGTGAGTGATTACAGTTGTAACGGACAGCACGTGTTCACACAGATTCGGGAGCTCGAGAGGCCTCTTGTGGGTTCTATTTTGCAGAGCATGTGGGGTGTCTCACCCACACATTTGGTGTGGAGTCCTAGGCATAACACTACTCTTGTGGACTACACTTGGAGTGTTGGACAGACACCGTTTGGACCGTTCTCAGAGATTTCTCAGTTGTCTTTTGTTCAAAAGGATGCTGCCAGGAGGAATGTTCTGTTAACATCGTTGAATTACAGTATTACTAGTGCTATTGATGTTCTTGAATCAATTGCTGCACATGGTGGAGATAGAAAACTTCTTAAGCAGAATCAGCAGACTCAGTTTAGACAGAGGTGGAATTTGTTCCGGTATAAACTGGACAAGGTGATCTCTGCATTGTCACACTTCGATTTTGAGATGGCTTTGTACTATTTGAGATCTTCAGATCATGATCTATATGCCATCCACTCTCTTGTTTATCATGCGTCTCAAGAGTTAGAGGCTTCACTTGTTTGTTTCAAGGACCCACCATTCCCATGGACTTCTTTTTCCATGTCTGCTGGAGTTTGCTTTGCTTTGATTTATGCTTATGCAAAAAGAGAGAAACTGTTTAAAAACAAGAGGAAACAGTTTTAAAGTTTTTGATGCCTTAGGCTTTGTATGTTCGAATCAACACAACCCCTGTATTCCAGTTTGGAGGTAATACAACAAGCTGAGAATTTATTTTCAGTTTGTCCAGAAAAAGAAATCATGTTTTGTTTTCAAATTCATATTTATTATATCAATGTGCTACAAATCTCTTTTGTGCGATATGTTGGTATGACACTCATGGATCCTCAATTGTGTCTTTGTTTGGAATTCTGATTGCTAACTACGGAACAATGCATCATTTTCCATTTTTAATTGAAATGAAAAGGTAGTTTTAGCTGCTGAATTAAAATCTTGTCTTTATTAGAGGACTTGCTCAATACTTCTTATAAGAGTTGATTCCGAGATCGTGCTTGTGCACCTTATTTTTTGTTCTTTTATATATTTTTTGGTATTTCTTGTGCTTGGTGGAACATTTAGTTTTGAATTAAAAATTCAATAACCTTGAGCTTAACTGTACTTGCACTCAGAAATTCAGTATCAGCAAAAAGCAGATGCTATCTGCATTGTCAATCATCTAGTGATGGATTGGGTTTTAAATTTTCCTGTTGTTTCTCAATAGTTTAAAATTTTCCAGTTGTTTCTGCAAAATTGTAATTGGAATGAGCTTGTCCTTGCAACTCAATTCCATGACCATTAGAAGAGAGCATAAATGGGACATCTGCATTTCCATCATCAAATATTCCTCCATGTTTGTCATCCTACGCCCTGAATATTATGTAATCTAAACCTAAATAGGTAAAAATGAGTCAGCCGAATCTGTACACACATATAAGAATAAAAAATGTTGAAGATTGGTAACTTATTCCATTCAAGTACACAAAGCAAACGTATACAAGTTCATACCATATAATCACAAAATTCATTAGTTCTACATAAAGCAAATGAAGAAACTATTGAGTTAAGTTCATAACGTTCTAGTAAAAAACGTTAGTCCAAATGATATCAAAATCTGTAGTTTCTTCGTTTGCATATTGACGGAGCTAAGTGTTAATATTTGAAGGAGAACGCTACGATTATTCTTGGATTTTTGGGAGGTCATTGAAGATGAAGTTTGATGCTTCAACTAAAGATGATAGTTAAATTCTCAAGAATTGGATATTGAGCAATTGTTCTGATAAAAAAAAGTAAATGCTTGGAAATTTTTAAAGATGAAAGGATTTTGATAATATAAAAATGGAATAAAGGGAGTCATTTTTGATTTAATAACATATAGACTGGATGATCACACTGCCCAAAATAAAAGAATGGTACCGTTGGTCAATAAGATGGGTTAATTTCTGAAGTATGAGACTGAATTGTGACCTCTCTGCATAGGCTTGCTTTAGTTTTAGTGCTGGTTGATAATGCAGGACGGAGTGAAAACTTAGCAAGTTTGTCAAGAATAGCGGATGTAACTGCCAAAGAATCTAGTTTATTCAGCTTCTCTAGCCGAGTATCTGTACCGACAGTTGATTCTTTTGCTTCAGACGTACGCCCAGTGGCTAGGTTAGTAACTTGGTGTTCTAGTTCCAGTATCTAGTACTTTTCAATTCAGTGAATCTTTGAGCAATATAAAGTTTATGATTTTATGACCTATGCACTTGAATGAGGAAGCACTGTTAAAAACTTAAAAGAATGGCGAATCTTTCTAAAAGGCCCCTTTTCACCAAGTCAAAGTGAAAAAGAGTGCCACAAAACTTTTCATTTTAGAAGTCTTCTTTTTGCCTCAATTGTCTTGTTTCCCCTTGTTAAAAGGCCTTTTTCTCCAACTCATCATCTTTTTATTACCAACCTCCGCCTCAACCCACAACCACAACCACAACCACACACACCCCTTTCCCCTTCGCTGCTCCAACACACTTAATTATGCAGTCCATGGATGAAAACAGAAGATTCATGTCAGGGACCAGCATTGGGTAGAAATATTGCTGAAAAAAGTAGCAAAAAGAGTTGAAGTAAGTTACCTTATATTCCCTTTTTCTTCTGAGTTACATTCCATGAGGGTTTGTCCACAAATGTGCTTGGTATTGCCCAGTCATTCTTTCCTGTTTACACCTATGGAATCTTGAACATCTTTTCACTGTTGTTGGAGCAGTTGGATCAGCTTCACACTTTATCTGTTGATCATCACAGCTGAGCCCAGCCGCAGCTGTATCTCGTTTTTTATGCTTAAGACATCTCGGTCCAGGAGACAGATCACCGTGTATAATGCACACATTATGCCTTTCAGTGTTCTCATCAATCTTTATCATTGTCATTTCCATATTTGATTCGTCTTTTCTTTCTCCAATTTCTTCCTTGGCACTTACCTGCTTCTATCTGTCTAGCCTTCTAAGAATGTCACGACTTTCATGTGTATTTAAAACCTTTTTCGTCTTTTGGTTCATTATGTCTTGTCTTTAATTGTTACAACTTACAAGTATGTTTTGGACAGACAGAAATGACGATAAAAACTATGAAGACAATTCTTGGCACATGCACAATAGGAAGAAATCAGATTGCTTCTGGATGTTTGTTTTTAATGCGTTAGAATGACTAGCATGGAGAAAACAACAGTCAATTTTAATTTAAGTGTGTTAGAATCTGGCGTGCATTGTTTACAGCAATCCCACAATTTATGGGATTACTATGTCTTAACTTGTATAGAACGAAACCCACGTGTATTGGTTGCAAAATTAGATAGTATAGGGCAAAATTATGTAAGAAATCGACAGTTTTTTCTTGATTCTAGGGAACCAATAATTTTCTCTTCTTCTTTCTCCCACTTTTCATTTTTCTTTCTGATTCTCCATTTATTTTCTAAAGATGCATGATGTGTGCACAGTTGATCAAGTCAGTTGATTCACTTGGAACAATATATATTACACAAACCACAGGAAAGCAAAGGAAGGATAAATTTGCAGAGGAAACAGCTATCATGATTTTTCATTCAAAATTTCCATTCAACCAGATGGAGTAAACATATATGCTACTAAATTTTTATTCTTCTTTGAGTCCTAAAATTTTAAAACAACAAAATTGAGTCTGCTTCATCAATCTTTGTACAAAATCACAAAAAGAAAAGTTCTGCAGTATTCATTTGTTTGTACACAGTTGCTTTTCCATCATTATTTGTTGTTATTTAACACATAGGGACCATGTTTATAAAGCCGTTCCCAATCATGTGTCCTTGCAACTCAATTCCATGGCCATTAGAAGAAAGCACGAATGGAAAATCTGCATTTCCATCATAAAATATTTTTCCATATTCATCATCACTGCTCACCTCTAGCAGGCTCTTGGTGTTTTCCTCATCATTTTCTTCTGACATATTTGAATTTTTCTCAACCAGTTCTTTAAATATTGAAGACTGAAGGAGTAGGCCAAGTGCTGTTGGAGAAGATGATTTGTTGCACGGACTAATGTTTCTTGCAAATTTTTCAGTCTTTCTCGGGAAATCTACATTGAAGGCTCTAGTTTTTGAGCAAGGGGACAAGGATTCTTCACATGAACGAAGAGGGGTTAACAATGCTTGCGACTCTGGGCTAAAGTTTTGTTCCTGAGCAGAAACTGAATCATTGGCTCCTGGCTTCAACCATCTGATGTAGGTACTTAAATCAAAATTAGTAACAGCATTTACCCCCCGGTACTCAATTGCAGCAATATCATATGCACGAGCTGCCTCTTCTTGTGTACCTGTAGGCAAAAATACAGCTTAAAAAAGCTCAGACATGGCAATATAAAATTTTTCCTTCTGTTTTACTATGAATAATCTGGACAAAATTTTTGTGGTGACTTACTGTAAGTTCCAAGGTAGAGGTACTTATTTCCGTAAACTCTTCCTATCCTAGCTTCCCACCTTCCATAGTGATGGTGTCTGCATTTTTTGCCATTTATGTGTTTAGTATAATTCCCCAAAATCTTCAATAACAAAATTAATTTATTATATCGTTCTCTTATTATACCTGGCAACTCCTCTGTACTTCGATACCCCTCTTGAAAACCCACTGCTCTTTCTGCATTAAAGAAAATTTATTTAGTTTGCATCCATGTGTTGCTCGTAAACCTTAATTATGTCAAATAAGATAGTGAAATATTACCTTCTTAGTGAGGCTAGGTACTCTTCTTTCGTTGCAGTCTGCATAATTTCAATTTCCTTCTCGTAATCAGATATCTGCAGAAAATATCTGTGAATTCATTAGTCTGGAGGTTGCATTTGGCATTAACAAAGTTTGATAGAAGCGTATCCCAGTTGATAATCATACGGGAAAATTGGTAATAGTCGATATCCCCCAATACTTGAGTGCAGCAAAATCATATGCTCTCGCTGCAGCTTCTTCTTCATCATATGCCCCTGAAAAAGTTTAATAAATCAATGCACACGTCTTAACAATTCTCACTTTCATACATGTACACATTTTGGTATAATTATACTCACCAAGATAAACTGTTCATTTTGAGTTTTGCAGTCCAGAGTACAGTCCATGGAAGAAAACAGAAGATTTTGTGTCAGGCACCAGCGTTGGCTAGAATATAGCTGAAAATAGTGGCGAACGAGTCAAAGTAAGTTACCTTGTTTTCCCTTTTTCTTCTGAGTTACATTCCACGAGAGTTTGTCCCACAAATGTGCTTCATATCGACCTGTCAATTTATGCCTGCTTACACCTCGGAATCTTGAACTTCTCTTCACTGTTGTTGGAGCAGTTGGATCGACTTCTTGTTTGATCAGTCGACCTTCAGAGCTGATTGCAGCAGCAGCTGTATCTCGTCTTCTGCGCTTAATACACCTTGGTTCAGGTAACAGATCACTGTCTATATTGCACATTTTACGCCTTCTTACATTCTCATCGCACTTTATCATTGTCAATGCCATATTTAATTGCTCCATTTATGCTGTCTGCTTGTTACTTTCTAAGAATGTAATGTACATTCGTGTGTATTTATATCCTTTTTCATCTTTGGCTTTATAATTAGACTCGGACAGGAATGCCGATGAAAACAAGAAAGACGTTCTTTGGCGCACGCATAACAGGAAAAAATCTTATTGCATCCTCATTTTTGTTTTTTCTTTATGTGAGACAAGTAGCAGCATAGGAAAAGTCACAGTCGTGCATTTTCTTGGATTCTTTTTCATTCATTTGTTGTAAATGAATGTATGAAATGATAATTTCGAGGGAATCAATCATAGTTTTCAGACTCGACCCGAACACGAGGCATAAATCCGGACAATGCAGCGGGTCAATGGGTTAGTGGTTCAACCGATGACCATGTGGTTCAATCGGCGGATCATTGCATAAAAACCTACAAAAAAAATATATATATAAAGTATAAATATTTTTTTAGGGGCAAAATTAAAATTTTAATTTACTTTTTACTAATTATCTAGGTCTATAAAAGAAAAAAGTTGGACCAATTTTTTTTAAAAGAATATTTTTATAAATGCTTTAAATGATTCATTAGATAGATATAGGTTATTGCACACAAGTAATATTAAAACACTTTATCTTCAAGTGGTAAGGAACATATTATTTTTCTTAGATAATCAGGTATTAAGTTTAAAAAATGCAAAATTCAGGTATTTAATTAATTAATTAAAAATAATTATTATTTAAATATAAGAAATTCATAATTATACAATTAATGATCACATGTACATAATTAATTGGTTACGGATTATTTTTTAGGTCACAAATCAAAAAATTTATAAGTCACGAATTATATCGAGGTTACAGTTGAAAAATTTTATAGGTCACAATTTGTTTATCGGTCACATATCAAAATTTTTAGAGGTCACGAATTATTTTAAGGTCACAAATTATTTTATTGGTCACGGATCAAAAAAATTACAGGTTACGGATTAATTTTTAGTCACAAATTGTCGATTTTTAAGATCATAGATAGTCCATTATGTGGTCACAGCTAGTCTAATCTATGACTACCGTCAACAGTTGTGACCACCAGTTCAACACTGTCTCTATCAGCACCACCACCACCATCCACCGCCTCCACTACACCAACAGCACCCATGCAACCATCAGATTCACAAAACCATCACCTACCTCCACCGCCAGAGGCACTGCACACCAACAGAGCGGCCACCATCACCACCGTACCCACCACCACCACCACTACCACCACCGTCGACCGCCACAAGTACCACCACTATCTATATTAACAAAATCACCGCCAACAACCGCCACCAAAATACTGCACCATCACCGCCAACAACCGCCACCAAAACACTGCACCATCA